GTGTGTGGTTTTTTTTTTTTTTTTTGGAGGGCTCTTAAAAATGTGAAGTGGAAATAAATGGGCCTGCACCTACTTATCAACCACAATGAGAAATAAACAAATGGCTTTATCCTGTTATATCAGACCTCCTGACTTCACCTTTAAACGGACTTTCTAGTGCAGTATATCTTCAGTATATAGCAGTAAATATACTTTCTATATACAGCTCTTTGCTGCCCCCTACCCGTCCTTTCTGCATTCTCCTCACGGTTTCCTCAGGACTCAGGTCACTGACAACATCCTATGACCATTTAGAAAACAAATCAATGTTAGAAACTTATAGGAAAAAACTAATTACACCGTGGAAATTTCTGGACAAGCTTACACTACCATTCAAAAGTTTGGGGTCAGTAAGTTGATTTTTTTGGAAGAAAATAATACTTTCATTCAGCAAGGATGCATTAAATTGATCAAAGTGACAGTAAAGAATTTTATAATGTTACATTTTCAAATAAATGCTGTTCTTTTGATCTTTCTATCCATCAAACAATCCTGAGAAAATGTATATCAGAGTTTCTACAAAAATATTATGCAGCACGACTGTTTTTAACATGTTTCATGTGACACTGAAGACTGGAGTAATGATGCTGAAAATTCAGCTTTACCATCACAGGATTAAATTACATTTTAAAATATATTCAAATACAAAACATTCATTTTAAATTGTAATAATACTTCACAATATTACGGTTTTACTGTATTTTTAATCAAATAAATGTAGCCTTGATGAACAAAAACATTACAAATCTTACCGACCCCAAATGTTTGAACGGTGTGTAATAGGTATTACCTTTCCACCTGACTTGGGCTTCCTCAGTTCTGGTGCGTATGTTCTAGAAGATGTGTCGCTAAAAGCTAGAAAACAGTGAACAAACACACTTAATTAAAACAAATGAGAATATAGGCCTAAATCATTCTAAATGCCTCAATGATTTGAACTTACACTCGGAGAAGGACTGGAAAGCACCAGGTTTGCTCTTTGCTGAAGGAATAGAAACAAAATCAGATTGGTGAGTCTATAATGATTGAACTAAAACGTTCAAGAACTCTTCACTGTAGATTACCTTTAAACAGGGAGCTCAGGGAGTATCCAGACCCCTGTTTGGACAGTGAAGGAGTGGTGTCTATTTTGGGAAAGCTCTGTTCACTGCCTGAGCGGATACTGGAGGCAGTTTCCTTCACCGACCAAGAGATGCCTAAACACAAACAAAAACTGATGAGCATCCAGATGAGGTACAGACAGTAGCAGAGATCAGAGAAAGGAGTGCATACTTCCCACAGGTTCCCCACTCCAGCTGACTCTCTCAACATCCTCCTCATCCTCATCATCATCGTCCACCAGGATGCTGTTCACGGCCCGTTTGGACTCTTTCAGCTGGGAAATAACAACACAACATAATCTGAGTCAGGGCTCTTTAAACTGTGGGCCACACAGAGAAAATGTGAGAGGAAAAATATAATACAAACATCGTACAAAATACATATTAACTTTAAGAACAGTTTGTGATTTTTAACAATTTCTAAATCTTTCCTCACCACTGTCACCGTGTTTAATTTAATTCATTTAATTTATCCACTTTAATTTACTATTTTCTGTAAACATTGAAAATGTGTTCGTTATGTTCTCATACAAATTATATTACCTTGTTAATTAAATATAAAAGGCAAATATTTTCCACGTAACATTTCGGTCTTTTGCTTTGATGTCTGTTCAATAGCTAACAGAAAGCCAACTATTTAATTTCGGAAAGAACATGTTCTGCGATCTATTTGAATTCTATTGAGAAACTGACATGGAGAAAGTCAAACATTATCTAAAAAAAGGCACATAAAACTAAAAAGACTGATGAAAAGAGGAGAAAACAATCTTGCACCAGCACTACTAACATATATTAAAATCTTTTTAAACTACGCATGACCACGTTTACTAGAATTTATCACGTTTTATTGTAGGCTTATTTATTGTGGTAAATTTTGTCTACTTGTAGAATTGATAATAGATGATCCGTTAAAAGGAATAGATTTTTCCCTATAGATTTATATTACAACTGTGGCATGTTGTAGCCATTGCTTCTAAATGTGCAGGCTGTTGTTTTTCATAACAAATGCTAAAAGATTAATAAAAAAAGTCATTATTGGCCTGGTAATGATTAATAAGCTAGCCTTATTATAACAGATGCCACAGTTAAGAACTATGGTACATTTTCATAAGAGCAAATACAAGTCAGAATCGAGAGCCATGTGCAAAATGGGTTCTAATGATGAGTGATAGAAAAACCCGGCCTTCCAAGAGATGGCATAGATTAAGATTAGATTAAATCATTAAGAGCCTGATGAACTGTTAAGGAGTAAGAAATAAACAATATCGATATATAAAATGCTAAAGTCCATGTAAAGCAGTATTAAATATCGGTTCTGAGTTTGTCACACCACACGGTCCGATTGACACGGGGCCCGGTGCGGCTGCACCAGTTGCACCCCCCTAAGGACGGCCCTGGTAATGACAGTAACTGCGATTGAGCAGGGGGACCACTGATGCTAATGCGCTCTAGTTATTAGTAATTAGTGTTAGGGGACATCATCAAGACATGATTTCAGCCCTGCCCTAAAAAATCCTGAACACAGACTCCACAATTCAGTACTTCATAGTTCACAGTCTTTGTAACGTGTTTTCAGCAATACATTTCTAACATTTAGAATGCGTTTAGAAACCATTCGCTGAATTGCCTTTACACAGACTTTAAGTTAGATTGACTCCCCATAGCATGTTGAATTAGAACATTCTGCATAGCCTAAATAATATAAAATACATTATATAATATCCTATGTAAGCAAGTAATTGTTAACTAGGCTATTAATTTATTGCAGGTGTGTTATCAACCAATTTTGTACTTGTGGATGATAGCACAAAATACCATTTTACAAAAATAAACATATAAACAAAGCTTATGAGAGAGCATGACCCAGGACTCCACTAAAATAGACCACTCTTCAACAACCACCCCCCACCACCACCACCAATGTTCAAACCAAAACTACGCCCTTGGTTTTATAAGGCTGAAGGGGCCATAAAGTGGTAAACAGGCGTTGGACTCCATAGAGCTCAATGGAAACACAATCAACTGACCTGTGAAAACTCATCGTCTTCATCATCAAATGTGAACGCTTTAAATTTGGAGCTGTTCCAGTACTCATCATCCTCTGGTTTGGCCCGTGTCATCTGAAAAACACTCACAATTTAGACTCGTGTAGACAGCAAACAGTGCAGCTGCAGCTCCCTTACTGCGCTTCATCTGATCTGTGCCACCGGCCGCAGAGGCTCTCAGCTACACAAACATGCCACTTCTTTATTTATCCATATGCTGCTGTCAGCTTAAACTGCCACTTGCATTTCGAGATTCGCTAAGATTGTAGTTTGGAAGAAGCATATGCATCCGCATTATTTTGCTGCTTGGAGCATGACAAACAAAAATGGCAATATGATTTTATAATAACGATATAACAGACTGACCTTCGAAATATTACAGTGAAAATCGACACATGAAACGTCAGATTTCTTTCCTACTAACGTTAGTTCCTGGTTTTAACATGTCGCCAAAATAAAAGTCCGAGAAACATTTTTGTGTGTGTGTGTGTGTCTGTTTTAGATGTTTTAGATATTAGCATTTATAACAAATTAGTTAATAGAGAATGTTATGAATAAAAAAATGTTGATATTGTTGATATTTAATGTAAAAACGTTTATTTCTAAGTGAATGTAAACTTATTTTAAACAAATTTACAGGGATCATTTTTCCATGGCACCTTACATAATTGTTTTCAGTTATTATTGCTAGCTATTTTTCCCTCAGTAATTCATGCTCTCACTTTAAAATTAAATAGTCAAATGTTTTCACAGAGAGTGAGAGAGAGAGAGAGAGAGAGAGAGAGAGAGAGACCTTTACATTACATGAAATTACCCCTTGGAGATTAATAAAAATACCAAAGATTTTGTAATTGCAATTAAAGTACATACCAATGGATAAGTCAAGTAATATACTGCAGTTCCTGACCAATAATAATGTGATATCAATTAGAAAATAAAGAGCCAGCAGAAAGCAGTTTTGCAGTCATCAAAAGATAATTTTTTTTAAAAAAAGTCTGTTAAAATTATTGTAGTCAAGACTGTTCAGATCGGTTAACACAAATCAAATTAAAACTGCCAAAACTATGTAAATTAGAAGTGTACACCGTTCATTTGGACTCAAAATGACCAAAAAAATAATTATTTCCATGTAGCAATGAATGATTAAGAACATTTTCCCAAAACACAAACTCAACAAAAAAGCACAACAGGTACTCTTTTATTGTTTGTTCAAATTTATGTGGCTAACAAGTCAATAATTACAAAGATTTCAACCTGTGATTCTTTTTTTTTTTTCTTTTAAAGTAAAAGCAGTAGTGTTCTGAGGATAAACTTCCATCTGAAGAAGCGGACGAGTGAAGTATGGGGAGAAACAGGAGGTACAGGAAAAACCATTCACACAAAATCCTTTCCTTAGACTAAAAACGTGTGCAAGTGTCTTACAGTGTTTCAGAAGGGTGAGGGGGACAACATAATACATTACCGTCAGCCTCGTCAAAACCACCGAAATGATTTAGCGGACAGTTTATTACGGAAACGGAAGTTGGCACTGAAGGCACACTTGAGTGATAATGGATATGCCGGCCATGCCTGCGGATCTTTAGCATGTCAACAGACAAACTCATATCAGCGTCCTGATAGAGGAGTCTTTAACAGTGACGGTCCCACAAGGCTGCTCGCATGTGTCACACATAAGAAACCAGAATGAGAGCATGGCTATGGAGAGATAACCTCATCACATATATATTTTTTCACTTTTATTATTAAATAGAGCACACAAAGCAGCAGTAGCAGCTTAAGAGGAACTACTGAAATCCTATGAATAGTTGTAGCTGTGTGCTGTTCTCCTTTGTATTTTTATTAAAACACTTATCTATATGTAAAGTCTTCCTTTTTGTTGCTTTCTTTTTTTCTCCAGGTGAGAAGCTGAACTAGATATCTTTGTGGGAAACATCGAGTTAAAACATGAATATTATAAAGGCTGGTTTAAATGCAGAACTGGAGAGAGAAAGAGAAATGATATAATAATAAAAGTGCCCTCTGGTTTGGCTTTAAACCCTCAAAGTCTCTGTCACCGATCTACTGCTCATATGAGACATTTTCACCGGTCCGTGACGAATCATGTTACTGGTCCAATTGGTTTATGCAAGAACGTCACAGTCCTATATCATCCTCGGTTTCTTTCTTCCCGATACGCTCCTCTCTTCGGCCCCCTTGATGAGTGTTCCTGATAATATACATTTAAAAACAGCATAAGAAGTCTCTTTCCCCTCAATTCAGTACTTTGAAGGGAAGCTAAGAATCCAGAAGCAATTCTGACACAGCAGATGTAATGCATGTTCATTTACTAAAGCAAATAATAATAATAAAAAAAACTTGCAGGAGCATGGCATGAAATTAAGAGTTCAAATAAAATAAAAGTCCATCATACTGCTAATCTGACCCGGTTAGTGTAATACCACGACATTTCCACCAGGGGGCAGACTTTTTTCTTTTGGTGGCTTCGCCTATGCCTGTCAGCACACACCCAGCACACTGCTCTTGTGGCTATTGAGGCATCTACCCTGCAGCAGGATTTGGGGTAAACCTTTGGCCCTTGTGGTGGATGAGCAGGTGACTTTTTGTAAGAGTCTTGGCACTTCTTAGTGAGTCCTAGCAGAGCGGATGGATACGGGAGGGTGTGTCTAGGGTGTGTGCGGGGCAAAAAACAAAAAAAGGGAGTTGCCCATTTTCAGCCATCCAGGGATTGATCCAGGCTGTCCAGGGTGAGCCGACTGCGGTGGGGAGAGTTGGGGCTCGGGGGGCTGCTGGGGTTGGAGCTGTTGGAGGGGGTGGAATGTTTGGTCGAGTCAGAGTCGGGCTGCAAGTATAGAGAAAAAACAAGGATAAAGAAAGAAGATTAGCAGAGCAGCTGCTTGTTGTCTAGTTGGTTTTTTAAATTTTCGCACAGTATACATGCATTTAGGCCCAAGTCAGTGTTTACAGCAGTCTTATTATTGTTAACTAAAACTATTATAAAAAAATTTTCAGCAACTGAAATAAAGCTGAAATAAAATGTGAATATTATTGAAAAAAGTTAGTATTATGATTACTAAACAAAAACACAATAGAAATGTAAAAAAAGGCTGATAAAAATGAAAAAAAAAAAAAAAGACTAAATCTTTAAAATGAAGTTCAAGTATTAGGAATACATAAAACTGAAATAAAAATAAAATTTAATAGAAATATTGGGGGGAAAAAAATAATTTATACAATTTTTAATACAAATTTGCACATAATAAAATGTCTAAATCTTAAATTAAAATTAAGTTAAAGTTTACTAAAACTGGGGAAAAAAATTTACATTTCAATATTGGGGAAAAAAGCTATAAATTTACTCTAAATCCTACACTAAAATTAAAATGAAACTAAAAACAAAGAAATTCAAAATATTAATAAATACTATAATAGTATATAAATAATACTAAAATAAAAACGAATGAAAGCTAAACAGAAAAAAAACTAAGCACATACAATGACTAAATCTTATACTAAAATTAAAATGAAAACCGATATAATTGATAAATATTAATAAATGATATAATTGCATAAATACTATGTAATACTAAAATAATCATTTTATAAAACTAAATTAACACTGGTTTACAGCTGTAGCAGGTTCTACTGTGAGAACTGGGGCAGTTATTACAGACCACAAAATCAGGACACAAGAAAACTCACTGAGCGGCCGAAAGCCCCTCAAAGCTCCTCTAACCATCCATCATGCATCTCGGGAAGCTTTCAAAATGTGGGGCGAATGAAATAAAACCATATCTGACATCCCGGGGGAGGTCATTAAGGTAGATGATAGATGTTCTTACCTCTCTCTCAAAGTCTTGATCTTGATCAGAAATACTGCGAGATGACCCTGCTCCTCCAAAATCTCCCCCTCCTTTAAATAAGGTATACATTTCAAGCATTTAGATGGGCAGTTTCAGCTTGTCTGTGTGTGTTTAAGGAACGGCACCCACCTGAGGCAGTGCGGGTGATGTGGGTCTTACTCCTCTGTTGCCGTGAGATGCTGGACAGAGGCCGTGGCTTGTCTTTAGACAGGTCGTCCTGAGAAGAGGGCATCACACTCTGCAGCAGAGGTACAAGAAGTCAGACACATATAGAGTACGTCACAGTCATGCACTTGTGTAATAGGTGTGTAAACACTCTTTTTGACTTTCTTTTAAACAAGACGACTATTGTTAGCACAAAAATTTGGTTTGGGTAGTACATTTCATGCGCAAATTATTATATATATATTTTTTTTCTATAAACCCGAGAAAACAACATTTTGTCGCTTTTTAAGGAATGTTTTGGATTAATTTTGTTAACCTCAATCAACAGCATTTTCGAGCATTATTTGGAATAGTGGTGTCACAATATATCAGTATATATACCGGTATTGATTATAACCGTGATATATATAAAAAACATTTAATATTGATATGTTAGAACTACATGTGATGATATCGTAAATAACGCAGCTAGTTGCCACTCCAACACACACGCGAACAATAAAAAAAGACAACGATGCAGTTATTGCTAACCACAAGTATTAAAATCATTTATTAATTGAAATGAAGCTGAATTAAAAATAAAAATATTAGATAAAAAAATGAAATAAAATGTTAGTAGAAGTACTAAAAGTTCTATATAAAACTGAATTAAATATAAACTAAATAGAAATATAAAAAAAAAACCTAATGGTAAAAGCATATAAAATTACTAAAACCTACACTAAAATCAAAATGAAAATGACAAGTATAAAAATAAACGCTAATTAACATTGAATAAATATGATAATAGTATATTAACAATAATACAATAACACTGTGCAACAGTTGTGAGAGTTTTTTAGATTCTGTTAAAAATACTTTTTTTTTTTTTTTTTTTTACAGTTATGGCTCTCCGCCTCCCTAAACTTGTTTTTTTGAGTGATTCATTAGCCGAAAAGAAAAAAAGTTAGAAGTTAATTTGACTGATAAACTGATTTTTTTCAAAATTTGAATAAATCTGATATTATGACAGCCCTAATCTGGAAACAATTTCACACTGAGCAATTGTATCACACTTGTGTCTCATGCTGAAGTATGAAGTTTAAGTTTAGTGGCGGTGTGTATTTTAATGTTTATCATGCCCCACTTTCATGGTAAGAGCCTGTAACTGCTAGTTGACTTCAACAGAGCTTGACATTAGCATATTGATAAGCCAACAGTACAACACTAACAAGCATTTTAAAAAATTTTTTTTTTTTTTTTTTTTTTTTTTACAGTTATGGCTCTCCGCCTCCCTAAACTTGTTTTTTTGAGTGATTCATTAGCCGAAAAGAAAAAAAGTTAGAAGTTAATTTGACTGATAAACTGATTTTTTTCAAAATTTGAATAAATCTGATATTATGACAGCCCTAATCTGGAAACAATTTCACACTGAGCAATTGTATCACACTTGTGTCTCATGCTGAAGTATGAAGTTTAAGTTTAGTGGCGGTGTGTATTTTAATGTTTATCATGCCCCACTTTCATGGTAAGAGCCTGTAACTGCTAGTTGACTTCAACAGAGCTTGACATTAGCATATTGATAAGCCAACAGTACAACACTAACAAGCATAAAATTCAAATCACACACAAACATTGGTAAAACTGTTGATTTTACTTTTTTTTTACCTTAAACTTTGCATTTTTTAAAATTTTGAATACATATTTTCAAACAGATTTTAAAAGGGATACTTCACCCAAAACTGAAAATTCTGTTATAATTTACTCACATCAAGTTGTTTCAAAACTATGAGTTTTCCTTCCGTTTAACATAAAAGAAGATATTTTGATGAATGTTGGTAACCAAACAGTTGCTGGTCCCCAATTGACTTCCATAGTATTAATTCTCCTACTACAGAAGTCAATGGCTACCGCTAAATGATACAATTTTCATTTTTGGGTGAACTCTCCTAAAATCGCTCATTTAAAAACTCTAAAAAAATTCAACCAATCAAAGTCACTACACTCAAGCATGAACAAAGAGGCTCTGCTGGGAAGAAGGCTCTTTCTGCAGATAGAGCCCGGCAGAGACGGGACTCATGTGATAGACGTGCTCAAAGTTGGTCGGAGGGGAGATCAGGGCATGGTGGCGAGAGGATGAGGGGGAGGGAGTCTCGCTCTGCTGCTGCCACAGCAACCAGAGGACAGAGCGAATCCACGACCAGAGCGAAAACAGAAGGAGCGACGTGAAGAGGAAAAAGAAACAGAGAAAAAAGGGTGTGAGGGTGGAAGAGTGGAGCTGGCTGGCTTTGAAGAAAAAGAAGAAACATGCAGAGAGAAGGGAAAGACTTTGGCGCTGTGCAGTATAATGAAAAAAAAAGGATGTAAGGATGAGTTATAAAGCCATGGGAGTCAATCAGTTATTGGAGTGTCCAAACAATGCTTTTATAAACTGTATAAAACCGCACCACAGAAGCGCATTCAAGACCCAATCTGATCTTAATATCATTTCTTAAAACAGCCTCAAGTTCTCAGATTCAGGATTTAAGCTGCTCATTTGGCATCTTTTCCACAAAGCTGAAGGACTAAATTGGATTTAGGAGAAGGACTAAATCTAAACCGATCTAGTTTACCCATTTAGGAAGCCCTTCTTAAAAACAACTTACAATTCATCAACAGTATAATCAATCTTCCAGGAAATTGTGAGCTGAGATCATTTTGAATTTAAGCTTTTTTGAGGTCCATTAATTGGCCTTAATAATATAAAAATAACGCAACTACTGACTAATATTAAAAGAACACTCCACTATTCTTGAAAATAGGCTCATTTTCTAACTCCCCTAGAGTTAAACAGTTGAGTTTTACCGTTTTCCAATCCATTCCGCCGATCTCCGGGTCTGGCGGTAGCACTTTTAGCTGTAGCTTAGCATAGATCATTGAATCTGATTAGACCGTTAGCATCTCGCTCAAAATGACCAAAGAGTTTCAATATTTTTCCTATGCGTAATATCATTGCACCTGCTGCATCCATGGTACGGCAGCAAAGTTCCTTGATTATTACGCCGGAATGAGAGTTTAGTTCCTAGTCATATCGGCCTAGAAAATCGCAACTTTTCATTTTCTGTCGGTCTTAGTACGCGATGTAACTACAGAAGAGTCCAGTTTTAAATAGGAAAAATATAGAAACTCTTTGGTCATTTTTGAGCGAGATGCTAATGGTCTAATCAGATTCAATGATCTATGCTAAGCTACAGCTAAAAGTGCTACCACCAGACCCAGAGGTCGGCTGAAAGCATTCGAAAACGGTAAAACTCAGCTGTTTAACTCTAGGGGAGTTGGAAAATTAGCCTATTTTCAAAAATAGTGGAGTGTTCCTTTAATCTTAGATCATGTTCCATGAAGATATTTTGTAAATTTCCTACTGTAAATATATCAAAACGTAATTTGTGATTAGTAATATGCATTGCTAAGAACTTCATTTG